AAACATAACATGTTTCAATGTTTTTAAAATGTCACTTAATATTCCTTCAGTTATATAAAAAAAAGAAATATCGTAAATTATAGAAAACCTTGTGAATGTGCATTAGAATTACTATACGATCTACATTTTATTTTTCAGGCACTTCTTTTGTTTCTTCAAACTTTCTTGCCTAGAAGACTCGATTAAAGCTGTAAGAATGATTATCAATAAAATTATGTATATAGTAATATCAAAATTATAAAAAGAATTTTTTTAGAGAAGTTATTTTCTTGATTGAAATGTTGTCTGCGTAAACAGATTGTCATTAACACTCACCTACTAGAATTTAATTTTTGTAATAACTGTAATTTTGATTTTAGTATGAAATCCTCGTTTAAATATAGTAAAAACAACCCAAATAATGTCAGATTCATGTATTCAAATTCTAAAAGCTTAGAAAATGGTAAACAGTTTATAATAGTTCTTTTTCAAAGAAATTTTAAAAAAAGAAAAATATCTTTGCTTTTTGGTTAGAAATCAGTTGGTAAATTGTGTATTGCTTAGAAACCTCGAGGTATTTTCTATTAACTATTAATAATATAAATAAACCTCTCCGAACAATCACAGAACATTATTTCACTTGGTTGCTTAGCAACAGAGTAAAACTAAGTGTTCCTCTTTTGAATTAGCACACTTTTAACGATTTCGAAATTTGACGGCACAAAATGAAAAAAATTTGTTTAAAAGTTGTTTACTTACCTGTGTTAAATAATTTGTGATAATAATTTTGAATGAGAAATAAAATAATATGTACTACGAAAACACGTTTATTAAGAGATTAATTATTTCTTCCGACTAATTTTTTGTTAGTTAGTAACAGTTATTTATTTTTTTGCTAGTTATTAATTGTTAGCTTGTTTTCTATAGTTATTATATGTTAATTTTTAATACATTAATTCTTTTTTTGTGATTTCTTGTAAACTAGTATTTTTGCTAATTATTAATTGTTTGCTTATTTTTTGTCAGTAATCTATTGTTAATTTATTTTTATAACTATTTATTGCATAGCTAACTTTAATGATTAGTTTTTATTTCCGTTTGAAAGTTAATTTTTAGCTTGCTTTCCTTTGTTAATTAATAATTTTAATAGTCATTACATTTTCTACCGATAATTTCAAAATTTTATACAATTGTCAAAGACAATTTAAACACTTCCTTCTTATTCTAACTTATTTTAAGATTGTCTGGGACAAGACACTCACCGACAAAGATGCTCACGCGGTGAAAGTATGGAAAAATTATAAAAAGCATTATAATTTTTATTGCATCATTTCCAATATTTGGTGGCACATTTTAACAATTTGGCGGCACACAAGAGTACCGCGGCACAGTGGTTGAAAATCACTGGTCTATGGGTTATCTTAAAATATTCATTTGCGTCGGCGATTTTTCTTGGCTGTTTTCTGGACTATCGCCAAATATATAAATCCTTATTGCGACCCTATTTTAAGGGTCAGGATTCCAAATATGTAAAAAAAAATGTTTATTCTGAGCAAGTACGTCTTTGTGTCTGATTTCGTAACTTAATAGTTAGCACTAATTAATTAGCATATTTGAGGTCACCCCCAAGAACCATTAAGATTTACACGAAGTTCATGAAAATGCGATCATCAGAACGAAAGTTATTCAAGATGATATCTTTTTTTTGAGAACTGCACATCTTTGAACTCAAAATGATATGACTATTTAAAACAAATTGCGTCTTTTTTTGTGTGATCTTTCATTTTAAATTATATTATTAAGGGGGTGTATTTTTCATTTCATTCCTTTTAAGATTCTGGTGAACCAAAATATTGAATTAATTTTATTAAAAATATAGCACTGGTATGCAATATGTCTGAACTCAGTTGATGAATGATTCCTATCAAAATACTATTTCATTGAAATGATTTGTTTAGATTATGCAAGAACAAAAATGAATGGTACTTTCAATATAAATAGTTGAACTTGTTTGGTTGTAATATAATTTTTAATGGTGGTTNCTTGTGAATGTGCATTAGAATTACTATACGATCTACATTTTATTTTTCAGGCACTTCTTTTTCAAACTTTCTTGCCTAGAAGACTCGATTAAAGCTGTAAAAATGATTATCCCTAAAATTTTGTATATAGTAATATCAAAATTATAAAAAGAATTTTTTTAGAGAAGTTATTTTCTTGGTTGAAATGTTGTCTGCGTAAACAGATTGTCGTTAACACTCACCTATTAGAATTTAATTTTTGTAATAACTGTAATTTTGATTTTAGTGTGAAATCCTCGTATAAATATAGTAAAGACAACCCAAATAATGTCAGATTCATGTATTCAAATTCTAAAAGCTTAGAAAATCATAAATAATTTATAAATCGATTCAAAAATTTTTTTTTTCAATGGAGATTAAGAAGAAAAAAAATCTTTGCTTTTTGGACAGAACTCAGCTTAAAAATTGTCTATTGCCTAGAAACTTCGAGATATTTTCTACTAACTATTAATGAAACCTCTGCGAGAAATCACAGAACATTATTTCACTTTGTTGCTTAGCAACAGAGCAAAATTAAGTGTTCCTCTTTTAAATTAGTCTATGCCAGTGATTCTATACCTTTTTTTGTGGCGGCACACTTTTACCAATTTCGAAATTTGACGGCACAAAATGAAAAAAAATAGTTTAAAAGTTGTTTACTTACCGTGTTAAATAGTTTGTGATAATAATTTTGAATGAGAAATAAAATAATATGTACTACAAAAGCACGTTTATTAAGAGATTAATTATTTCTTCCGAATAATTTTTGGTTAGTAACAGTTTATTTTTTTGCTAGTTATTAATTGTTAGCCTGTTTTCTATAGTTATTATATGTTCGTTTTTTTTACATTGGTTCTTTTTTTTTTTTTTTTNTTTGTTTTTTTTTTTTTTTTTTGTGATTTCTTGTAAACTAGCATTTTTGCTAATTATCAATTGTTTGCTTATTTTTTGTTAGTTATCCTTTGTTAATTTGCTTTTATAACTATTTATTGCATAGCTTACTTTAATGATTAGTTTTTATTTCCGTTTGAAAGTTAATATTTAGCTTGCTTTCCTTTGTTAATTAATTAATTTTAATAGTCATTAAATTTCCTACCTATAATTTCAACATTTTTTAAAATTGTCAAAGACAATTTAAACACTTCCTTCTTATTTTAAGATTGTCTGAGACAAGACAATCACCGACAAAGATGTTCTTCACGCGGTGAAAGTATGGAAAAATTAATTTGGCGGCACACATAAGTACCGCGGCACAGTGGTTGAAAATCACTGGTCTATGGGTTATCTTAAAATATTCATTTGCGTCGGCAATTTTTCTTGGCTGTTTTCTGGACTATCGCCAAATATATAAATCCTTATTGCGACCCTATTTTAAGGGTCAGGATTCCAAATATGTAAAAAAAAATGTTTATTCTGAGCAAGTACGTCTTTGTGTCTGATTTCGTAACTTAATAGTTAGCACTAATTAATTAGCATATTTGAGGTCACCCCCAAGAACCATTAAGATTTACACGAAGTTCATGAAAATGCGATCATCAGAACGAAAGTTATTCAAGATGATATCTTTTTTTTGAGAACTGCACATCTTTGAACTCAAAATGATATGACTATTTAAAACAAATTGCGTCTTTTTTTTGTGTGATCTTTCATTTTAAATTATATTATTAAGGGGGTGGGAATGTATTTTTCATTAGTACATTTCATTCCTTTTAAGATTCTGGTGAACCAAAATATTGAATTAATTTTAGTAAAAATAAGCACTGGGATGTAATATGTCTGAACTCAGTTGATGAATGATTCCTATCAAAATACTATTTCATTGAAATGATTTGTTTAGATTATGCAAGAACAAAAATGAATGGTACTTTCAATATAAATAGTTGAACTTGTTTGGTTGTAATATAATTTTTAATGGTGGTTGTAGAGGACAATTTAGGAACAATTAATAAATAAATGAAGACTCTGAAAACATATGAGGCACTGCTGACAAAGATATGAAGCATCTTATGGATCTGCATTAAAGTTAGTTGCAAAATTTTATGTATTTATTTACATGGATAAGTGATCTCATAACGATAAATACACTACATTTTAGATTTCCATGACTAATTCCAAGCACTTTTTATGATTTAACGAAGTTACTGTTCTCTCCGACAAAAACATAACAATAAATTTATTAAATAATTAATTTAATATATAAAGCATTATGATTACATTAATTGAAATGATGGGTATAACCAAAAATGCATCTTCATATTTATAGATTTTAAATTTAAAAAACAGAATCGAGAAAATAGTCGAAACAATAAAATAGCTGATAAAAATAAAAAAGCAAATAATTTTCTTTCTGCAGAATTACATTCTAAAGATACTTTTCTTGTTCATTGGAAAGGAAAGAAATACTTCGGATTTTTCTGTTCTCATTTCTTAATTAAAAAAAAAATAACTGGGTTGCTTCAGCTAGAATTTTAAACTGATAAAATAGAAAGAATAAATAATAATAAAAATTCTGAAATGACAGAAGATTAAAATATGATTCACTTTAGAAATGATGTTTTTTCCTTCATTTTCTGAAAGAACACCATAATTTTTAAAGAATATGATAAAAACATTTTATATTTTAACAAAATATGACTGCGAGTGGGGATTTTGTTACAAATTCAAATATTTGGAACACCATGAAATTGGGAGGGGGGGGGTCCATCTTAAAAATTAGATTTTTCGGAGACCTAAATCCATGGCTTTCCATTATTTTTTTAAAAACATGGTTAAAACTCATGGGCAGATACCCTGTAAATACTCTCATACTTACGGTATGGATTATTAAAGCTATGCACAGACAGCGCGAAGGGCTGATTAGCAAATAAGTTTTGAATCGCCATTTTTAATATTTAGTCGTCCAACCCTTTAATTTTGCTTTACATTATTCAACACTGTTTCAATAGAAGAAATACAAAAAGCTGAAACAAAAATTAGCAAATTTAATTCTTAATAAATTATATATACAGAATTTTCATAATTACAGTTATACATCAGAATTATAAAATGTTACAAAACCTCCTACACCAGAAATAAAGCAGAGTGAAGAAAATTTCTAAAAAGGTTTTTGTAAACACAATTCCATTAAAAGTTGTTTAAGATAAGAATAAAAAAAACATACTGCCTGCCTTCTAAATCTGGTAATGGATAAATGACGGAAAGAACATCTTCTACAACTGAAATTTTCTCTAATGTTAAAGATCTCTGGCTATTTCCCCCAGATAATACAATGAAGACAATTTGGTAAAGGACCCACAAAACAGTTACCCCAAGGAGTTTTGATTAGAACCCTCAAGGCAACAGACAACTTTGCAAAGGTCAGTTAAACTAAAAGTCAAGAGTTAGGAAAACAATTAGGCAAAATAACATTAAATTCTAGCCATAAAAAGATTCAAGTTCGAGTGACTATGTAGGTATGTATTAAAGAAATTATGAGATCAAAAAAAAAAAAAAAATTATGAGATCAGACAAAAAAATATTTCTATAATTAAAGTGCTTTATTAATTAAGAATTAAAGTGCTTTTCATAATAATTTTTAATGTACTAACGTAAAAATATCTAATTATTATTTATAAAAATATTTATTATATTAATTATTATTTAGTTTTTTTTTAAAAAAACAAATGAATGATTTTGAGTTACTCTATGGATTAATATGTTTACAGACACATTATCAACTTGGTATAAAGAATTAATTTATTATTATTGACCACATTATTGATATAATAATAATTTTCTTCTCAACTTTTGTAACTATAATCTATTAATTCAAAATATTTTAAAGGAGTTTACTTAATTCAGTGGATCTTGAAGTCCGCATAAGTATGAGGTGATGATTCACTTATATTTTCTTTTTTATTCAACAGAGGACAGTACTGAGATGATTTAATTCCACTTTGATGCTTTAAAGATTTGGCAATTATTATTTGGGGGGGGGGGCTTTAACTGTCACTTTCTATTTGTAGATATTATATGTTGACTTCTTTTCCCCAGAGAACTTTTGGCTTATGCGGTTTTAGATACAATCTAACTTCGTTAATGCAAAATCGACGGGACTATCGTAATTATTCCGCGCTAACCTAATTTTGTTTTATCCGATACTGTTATGTACTACATTAATGCATGCAAACAATACTATTATGAAGCAAAAAAATTAAAATAAGCTAAAAATTTTAACTATTTTATTTATTTGCCATGAATTTCAGATACTGTGAATACGACTAGGTCGGCCAGCGATATTGGATTTTAAATTCGAATAAATAGGAATCGCGATATTGATGTCAAAAACGTTTAAAGACAAATTGCTATGTTGGATTTTTAAATCCCGTGAATACGTTGATTCACAATTAATGATTTAAATCAGGTAAATACGAAAATCGATGTTTGATATTAAAATCATGTAAATATGAATCGCGATATTAGCGGATTCCGGAGTAGTCTCAAATATCACTTGTTTTGCCAACGCAATTTAGTGATGGTTTCAAAATTTAAATTTCGTTGGATTATAAGTTTTGATTCGTGGAAGTCCGTGAGTCAAGTCTTGAGATAAGCGGAATTTCTCAAAAACTCACATGCCCTGCTCCTAGAGCTGGACAGATGATATGAAAAACCGGGAATACAATCACCCCTGAAGGAAAAAAATAGCATTCCTCAACATGAAGGATTTATTCACATGCTTATTATCTGTGCATTTAAGCAATAATCAGCTCGAAAATTTCATGTTAAACATGTAAAACAACAATAATTCACAGGAGAAATCATGTGTAAAGCAATATTTCCCTGTTAAGCGGTTTTACATTAATGAGGTTCGACTGCATGTTTTTCTGGATTTTCCTTTTGATTTTAATCCTTGAATTTCTAAAGTATTCTTATTTTATCTTTCATTATGTGGCAGAGTTAGTTTTTGGTTGAACCACTGACTACAGTAAGGCATGTTAGCAGGACAGTGAAGTACTGTCTTTGCTGATGTGCTTCTATTTTGAAAGTTCGTTTTGCTCTATATATTTAAGTTCTATCCCATTTAATTAAACTGTGTACTAAAGACAATTTTGGTGACATGCTGCTTTTAGGGCTTTTCGATTTTAAATTTCGGTCTTCATTTTTGCTTAATTCCATTTTTTATTACCAGCGATATTTGTTTGCAGACAGTATAACCTTTTCATTCTAATTCATTGGAATAAGTCAATAAAGGAGGCCACAAACACACACAATTTATAAAGTCATATTTCAATAATAATAATTATTCAGCGCAGAAGCTACTTCAGGGCGGTTATTCTTGCATTCAAACTTTCAATGTTTCTTTCAATCATATCACTGTTTTTCAGGAAAGTTGATTGAACCTAAAGAAAAAGAAATCTAAATTGTAATAATTAAACCAATTATCCACAGAATTCAGGTTTTCCATAAATGCACCGAAAATACTTTTAATCTTCGACAGTCAAAATGCAAGTAAGCTTTTTCGTCAGGTTAAATCTATTATAAATGGCTGTTAAATAAAGTCTGGCTTAGTGTGCTAGAAACAGGGGCCCCCATCAGGGGGGAAGGTGGGCGCACGATGTGCCCACTTAAAGCTTGGGGGGGGGGGATTTTTACACTAAATAAAACGAATAGTTTGGGGGGGGAATTTAGACGAGAGAATTTTTTTTAAAGTACATAAATAAAGAAAGCAACGCAGCACTATTTCGAACAAGCTAACATGGGGGGGATGAATGCGCCCAGAAGCTTGGGGGGGGATGGGGGCCACTGGCTAGAAAGAAACTTTTATATTACTGTTAACATTAAAACCTAATGAGATTTTTTCGGACAATACTGTATTGCTTGGTCAAAATGATTACAGGGGTCTGCCTAATTTTTTTGAGAGATACCTATTTTGTGAAAATGTAGACATTAATTTGAAAAAATTATATTACAAAAATCAACACAAGAATATGTTTAAGTAAGAAAATATTTTCAAAAATTGTCACTACACATAAAAATTACTTATGATTGTAAAATTTCTCTATATTTTCCCCCATCATTGTTCATAGTTTAATTTCAACTTGAATTTAATAAAAACATGCATTTAACAGTACTAGCACTAAAAGTTATTTTCATTTCGAGAACAGTTTCGACTAGGTCATACAAAAAAAAACTTTCACAGAGAAAAAAATTTTTCATAAAAAATAAAGGTCTATTAAAATGAATTTACAATAGTGTAAGATAATGTTCGAATGTTTACAATTGTGTTTGAATTTTGACTTCATGTAAAGTTTAAAGGGGGCTGATCGTTTCATTTTAAAAAAAACTCGAGCAAAATAAAAGCTCGCTTCGATACAGCACAAGCGACCCGTCAGGCTCACCACATTGCACCATCCGACCAAAACACGTGCTACCTTTTGGTAAAAGACAGCTGCCAGAAAAGCTGTTTTCCATAGTTTGCAACGCGTCAATTTACCTCGGACAGACCCCTGTATTAGTAATACAAAATGTTTTGGGAATGATTTAAAATCCTTACTCTATAATTTGAACACAATTACCATTTATTTTAATTTCTGTTTCTTAACCACAGCAGTGATTGATTTGTCAGCCACTTTTTAAAAAAAAATGAAATTGTAAAGTACATTTTTTTAAAAATCAAACTGAGTCCAAATTTTTTTAAAAATTTTTGAGCACTTAGGCATCATTCATCACTAGAGATTCATTCTTTTCAAATATAGACAAAATGTTTTTTTATGTGATTCAATATAAGTAAATACTGTGAGAGGTAGAGATTGTGTTGACATGTGAGCATTCAAAATTTTTAATTGCCAATTGTATATTGAAATCTGTTCAAAACAATGCTGAATCAAGACAATCACTTAAAACCTTATTCAATAATTCAGTAGGAAGCAAATCTCTCGCGTTTTTCAACTGATGATATTGGAGAGTGTCATAATAAGACAAAAAGCAGTCTTGTTTTTTTGTTTTTTTTAAATATAAACGAGGCAATTTGGTTTCTCGCTATGACAAACTCTTAAACAATGGTGGTAATTATGAAGAAATTTCCTTTCTCAAATGCTTTTTCATGGAAAGATAAATGTTTTCACAAAACATTTTTACGCAAGATTTTTCAAAACGCTATTTATAATTAGTTTTTTAAAAAAAACATGTCCTTCAAAAAGTTCACTGCTTGCAGCATAATCTATATTTGTTTAATAAAGCATGAGATGCGTCTACATGGCTGTTTAGAGATATTAATTAAAAGGTACGTACAGGTAATGTTACACAAATTCTATGCAGGTCTTATCTTATGAAGAAAAGCTTTGAAATTATATATATATATATATATATATGAAATAGCACCAGAGATGCCAACTTGCTCTGGACAGCAGATAAATATTTTGAGTGGGAGACTTATGATTCTTAGTTTAGTAAATTCGGTTTATAGGGTCTTTACTTACTACTACTTCTAAATAATTCCTAGTGTGATACGCCACTTTTTAATGGTTAACCCAGGTTGAGCCTTTTAAAAAGTTGGTAAAATGAACCAAAAATTTTTTAGTTTGCATCTCTATCATTTTTTTTAAAAAAACATTTTGTCGAATCTGGAGCAATTGGCATCTCTGTAGCATTATTAATTAGGATTAGGCTTGATTTTTTTTTTCTAATTGCAAAAATTCTAAAGGCCAACACTTTCTGTTCATTTTGTTTTTCGATAATGAGAAGCATTTCTAAGAGAAAATTATATACAGTTTTAAAAACTTTATAATTTATGAATATAAGACTTGATCACCAAAAAATAACTGAATCAAACATTTTTAAGTAATTTTAGTTTTTAAAATGCAATATAATTATCAATATATATAACTGAAAGTTAATTGAGGTAACTAATGTTTCTCAATCACACAATATAAATTTCACAGTGTCTGGTTTTTACAATTAGAATAATCTAAAATCAATGTAAAAAGATAAATGTCAGAAAAAGAATAAAATACATTACATTAAACTAGGAAATCACATTAAAAACGAATGGATAACACACTTTATGTAGGGTTTGGAAATGACCTTTCCTCAAAATAAACAAATACTAAATTCATTTTTAAAAAAGAATTCTTCTGTCAGAATTAAGAATTTATAAGTCACTGAACAGCACAGATTTTTCAACATTATAATTAATGTGTTTAGTGTCTTTTTCTACAGTCGAAACTCAATACATACGTTTCTAATGTGTCTCCTTTTAACAATCCTGTCACAAACACACTATTCTTATGTTAATAATACTCGTCTATCAATCAGAAATTCTACCCACACTTTTGTGGTGTTTTCTACACTAGAGAGTGCTTTTGACTGCCTACATTTCCAGGTCACTGTTTTTTGTGTGTTTTGAAGCCATCTGGCTCACAATGTGATGATTTGTGTTTTGAGACTTCCTTGAGTAGTATTTCTTCGACGAGTGTAATCATTACCTGATTTATTATTTGTGTTTAAAAGATGAATCATCATTTGAAGACCTGTTATTTCAAGAGGTTAGAACTGTCATTTGAAAAGAAAAATCTTTATAAAACACTTCTCAGCTTGTTGACTAAATAACAACTCAAAATTTAAACCTAATCAATAACTTGTAAAATGAGTTTGCTAACAGTAATATGATGGTGAAAGGCTTGCTCCAAGAACAAACAGTAATAAACAGGCAAAAAGAGGGCAAATCTGAGCTGCCAAAAAAAACGAATTTTTCCTAAATCTAGCAACCATAACAACTTTTTAACAGTACATCTCTAAATAACTAAAACAAATTTTAAGTTCAAACTTACCCAAATAACTTATATAATATCTTATGAAATACAGCATATTTGAGTTCAGAAATTATATAATTTTTTAATTAAAAACAAAATTATCTGTTTGAAAATATTGCCTCGTAGAATAAGATGTAATAAGCAGTTGTATACTTTCTTATTGGGAGTAGAGCAGGTCAAGAGCTCCAGATTGCTGTTGCTTACATTTATATTGAAAACACCATCCATATATATAGATAGATAAAATTATGGAAATTCTTTTACAGAAGCTCATTTTTTTCATGTCTCTCAAGAAATATTTAGAGAATTATTTCAAAACTTTAAAAGGTTATGCAATTTCTAATACATATCAATAAAATGTAAAGGTTTGAGGGACTAGCAATAAATTAAGAGTGAAGGAGAATGTTTTTGAACAATTTATGACAAAAGATAAGCTTGCATCAAGTACTTTGGTTATCAAATTAAATTACATATATATTCAAACTTAAATTTCAAATCAAACCTTACCTCTTTCATCATTGTTTCATTCAATTTCAATGAGTTGGTTATATGTTGCTGCGAAGAATCCAGCTGCGTTAAAGCTTTACTGAATTGAAGAGCTGTAAAATATAATTTATATACTCATTATTAATGCTGTAATAATTGTCAATAATAGAGATAACTCAAACTCGGGTATCATCTTGACATCCTATTGAAAATATCTATATTAGAAAATAGATGAAAAGAGTGATGAATAATCAGATAATAAATGTAAAGACACGATGTTTGTAAAGACACGAATTTATGATAAAATCATTGTGAAACGAGCATGTCAAAAAGGTTGATTCAAAATTTGTGTGCTGTAATAACATCAGGGTTTGTAAAGAATATGTGCAAATGGCAGATCCAAAAATTATGCGAAGTCGAAAGATTTTTAAAGTAATTTTCCAACTGATTTCCCAGTAATATTATTGAAAAAAAAAAAACAAAAAAAAAACAGCAATTTGGACATCAAAGCTGCATTCCTATGAGTTACATTTCTCTCCAAGCATTACTTGTGTAACAATACAATATCAAAATTAAGGTCATACTGTCCAATTCAGATAGTGATTCCATCATAAAACCGCGATAAAAATTATATGCTTCTTTTTACTAAAGCCATTTTTAAAAAGGAAAGAAAAAAGAGCCTACTGCACCTGGCTATGATTGTGCCTTCTACAGAGTTTTAATCTTAATAACTTGCAGTCATAGATTATTATTGCTTGTAATTGATAATTAGGCTCATTTGAAAATGATTAAAATCAGAGAATAAAAAACGAAATAGGTGAAAGAGATTCTCTCTGTAGTTTCAAATTATTTTCTTTCAGTGGTTGCGAACTAAAGCAAAATTTTTTGAAATAAACAGACATCTAAAAAAAATGAATAGAACTTAAGCACTCATCTATAAGATTTCATATGTATCTGTTTAAATTGCTTGTGTTTAATAGGTGTACACAACTCTTATAACTCTAATTTATTAATATATTACCCTCGCTACTAACAAAAAAAAAAATTCTGAAACTACGTACAGTAGTTGGAGTTTTTGAGGTACACATTTTGCCCATTTAATCTTCTTTTTATTTGAATACTTACACTGTTCATGAAGTTCTTTTAAGGCGACAAGTCTTTTTACCACTTGAGGAAGGCACTCGTCTAACTCGTGAACTCTCTTCACTAAATCGTAGAGTTCCGCAACCTTATTCCTCTTATCTGCATCCTCTATTTGGTGCTTTTTTTCAGCAACCTGTTGCATACACTGGTGAAGCACGACCAATCGATTTTCGACTTGATCCAAATACATCGGTTCCAGAAGATTCAACTTCGACGACAGCAACTTGATTGCAGACTTTAAATAAAAAGTTTGGAATGACACATTTTCAAAACAAAAAGTGAAATTTCATTTTTTTAAAATTCAATATCAGTAGCAATAGGTCAATTCCAATACCAAAAAAATTAAGAGAAAATTGGACTGGACTTTAAGTAATCATTTCGGCCCTCTAAAAAAAATCTGCTAAATTATAACATAAAAGAATTAAGATTGATAACAACTTATTCCCAGTAATATAAACTGAATAGTTATAATATTGGTCTTAAAGTATTAAGAGTACCATTAGAAAAACCAATAAATATTTTCCATAATTTTGGCTAATTTTTTATATATGATCAATAAAATAATTCATAATTATTGTAGTATATAATGCAAGTATTGCGCATGATTTGCTATCTAATAAAATGTTTCTGATGTCAAAAACTAAACTTGCCCTAAGTTTTTGACAGATTTCAACAGTTTATGACATTTTTCGACAAGTTTGGCACACGTCACGTCGAAAACCAGTTTTTACCTCAAAAATCTAACCCTGAAGTTTACCATCTTTATTCAATCATTGGATGATATAAAATAATTTTTAAATATATCATATGTAAGGAGGAAGAATATATAAGTTTGAAAACTACCTATAGAAATCACAAATAATGATGCTCAAAAAATTCCATTTCTTTATTTCAAAACATTAATGTATATGAGACACTTTTTATAGTTAAAAAAATATTTTAAAACATTGTTGAGATGTACTATATTTGACAACTAATTTGGCATATTAATGTAAAATTGTTAGGAGGAAAAAAAACAGCCTTAATCCCTTAATGATCGGTTAATTTTCAAGAAAGCTGTCATAAAAGCGCCTATTTTTTTTAATATTTAGTTTAAAATAAACTAATTATCTACAATTACCTTAAAAATATACTGGTACTGCCATCTGGTGCGAAAAATGAGAAATAAAATGCTTTCCGGTTAAAAGAAATGAATTAGTTCTATTCTTATTGGCGCTTTACTACTCACAACTCCAGCCCGGAAATATCAGCTAGAAATAGAGGGCGAAACCGTCATTTTCTCGGGAGTGAGAAGGAAGGGGTTAAACAGTAAATAAAGAATTGCACAATAATGAAGCAAACTTCTGCTTAAATTTTTATCAGTACAAAATATTGATTGATATCCTTAAAATTCAAATGACTATTATGAACTTAAGTTAGAATTTAATTCATATTCAGGGTTGCCACAGAAAAAAAAATGAACAAAATACAGTCAACTCGCTATAACTCGAAGTACGATAACTCGAATATTGCTATAACTCGATTTTTTTATGAGGTCTCGACCCTTTTATCTTCAATTTCATGTTAATTATTCTCGATTACTCGAATTTTACTCCCTTTAACTCGATTTTTTTTTGATCTTTTAAAGCAAGAAAAAAAACCTAGGAGCTGATATCTTGCCCCTTCCTTCGCAACACACACACGTCTTTCGCTCTCTTCATGGAGAAGCTAAAGCTGTCCCTCTTGAAGTATGTGAACAGTGGTTAAATGAAACGATCAAAAATTTACTTCAAGGATACAGTTAAAATGATGTTTTCAATATTGATGAAATGGGTTTATTTTTTAAATGTCTTCCAAATAAGCTTGTTTTTCATTGGCGCCATCTATGGCCAAGAATTCGACTTCTGCCACATCATACGTCACATCTGTTTATAAGGCG